GTCAGGGGTTTCTGAAATCAGCAGGAGGGTTTTTAGCCGGTAAGAGTCCGGCAGTACTCACACCTCCCTACTCGTGGGGAGGTGTGAGTCTCCATGAGGATTTCCCCTCCTGCTGGTAAAAAAAAAAAAAAAAAAAAAAAAAAAAACCTAAAAAAAAAAAAAAAAAAAAAAAAAAAACCGAGCAGACCTAACCCGAGCAGACCTAACCCGAGCAGACCTAACCCGAGCAGACCTAACCCGAGCAGACCTAACCCGAGCAGACTTAACCCAAGCAGACCTAACCCTTACCCTAAATCCGCACTTAAGGCATATAGTACTCAGTTCCTCGCTTACGATCTGGCAGAAGGTAAAGGCCACATCTACGTAGACCTGCAACAAGTTCAGGCGGAAGACCAGATACCACTTCTCCAATGTTCTCTCTGCCTTGGATACGGGCATAGTCGCAAGCTGCTCACAGAATCGTTAGAAAAATGCAGTGACTGTGGGGATCCGCACGTAAAGACCGAATGTGAGTACTGGCTCGCTGGATCCACACCGCAGTGCTGCAACTCCACACATACCAAACTCGAGAGGACGGATCACAACGCATTCAGCACTGAAGACTCGGTTAGAAGAAAGTGGGATAAAATAGAGAACAGCAATAGGATATCGCTAAGGTGATTCCAAGAAATATTCCTGCGTCAAAAATAATGAAAGACCATATTCGAGTAGCCCAAGCAAATTTGCGAAGAAAGAAACTGGCGACCACCGAACTCTTCATAAAGGCCAGTAAACGTAAAATCTCTTGTCTGTCTTTGACGGTGACTTGGATGTCATCCCATATTCCAAACTCACCGCCAACAACATCGTCGTGGTGGGGATCCAAACCAAAACCTGGGAAATCGCAGTAGTCTCTTACTACTTCGAACCAGACCAACCCTTCGGGCAGTACCTGGATCAGTTTCCCAGGATTAAAAGTGAAGTGGCCACCAGAAGATTGCTGATAGGGTGCGACCCAACCGCGAAGAGCACCTGGTGAGGCAGTACGATTGAGGACTCCAGTGGAGAAGAAATGTCCGGGACCCTGGATGAGTTGGAGCTTCAGGTATTCAACGTAGGCGATACACCTACGTTTGATACCGTGAAAGGTGGCAAAGCGTTAAAAAGCCAAGTAGATGTCACGGCATGTTCGCCAGATCTGTTTGACCTGGTTGACGGCTGGCGGGTTGACACAGGGGTAACAAGCTCGCACTACAACACATAATTTTTCAATATATAACTACACGAGACAAGGACACACATAACCAGAACTTCCAGGAAAATCAATACAAAAAGGCAGACTGGGAAAAAATTCAAGAAACACTGAAAGATCTCAAAATTAAAAACAAGATAGATTAGAAGAAATTAGTTGTAAAGCACAGTGATATAATTGGGAAAGCGTGCGATGGCGCTATCCCAAAAATAAATAACAAAACAAAACTTACCGACCTGCGGTGGTTCAAAGAGCTAGCTGTACTGAAGAAAGACGTCACCAGGAAGAAAAACCGCATCCGCAACGCCGCGCGGGTCCGGAGAGCGATGGTCGTAGACGAGTACCTGGAAGCAAAAGAACTGGATGAGAGTACAATCAAACGAGCCCAAACCACCAGCTCGAAAGAATTCTGTAAGAAACAGGATCGCGAAGGAGTATGGGAGGGAAGGGATATACCGAGTAATCAGAAGGACCGCCAAAAGGAGGGAAGATCTGACCATAACTAATGATGGTGCATTCCTAAACCCAATATAATCGGCCGCCCTGCTGGCGGATACGTTCTATCCTAAGGACACAGCAGAAGAGGACAACACAGACCACAGGCATACAAGGGAAGCAGCCAGTAGAGTAAACGACTGGCAGCAAGATGAATACCACGACCCACCGTTTACATCTCTGGAACTGAAGACAGCCGTGGAAGGTTTAAATCCTAAGGAAGGCCCCGGGCCAGACGGATTTACGTCAGATATCTGCAGTCGAGCTGCCTACCAGGACCCGGATGCATTCCTTGCCCTGTATAATAAGTACCTAGAACTGGACATATGGAAAGAGGCTACGGTGATCGTCCTCCGAAAACCGGGCAAGAATAATTACATGATCTCCAAGTCTTACAGACCGATAGGTCTACTGCCGGTCTTGGGCAAGGTCCTGGCAGTAGCACGGATAAAATGGGAGCTCGTGCTGCGGTTTATTACTCGCCAGTTTGGCGTTATGCAAAACTAGAAGTAGGAAAGTGGGAGTCCCCCTCCCCCAACTAAAAAAGTGAAAGACGATGGACAAAAGCAAGATACAGTATGAGGCATAAACGTGCGAGAGGCATATAAGCGAGAACCGGCATGGAAGTAAAAATAGATTTAAATAGGCGTCAATAATGTTGGCTATCCAAACCGAACTGAAATATCTTGGAAACATAACGACCGATTTCGGAGCAATGTTCTGCTTTAACCACCTCCTCTAGGCTCAGACAGTGACTCATAATTCACGATTCGGATAGGTTTTTGCATCACAAACTCCTGATATTTTGCTAGAAATCCTCGTAATTGACTAAAATTTGGTGAAAATACTCGTTTTTTACTGAAAATTCAAAATTATTTCAGAAAACCGACGTGTCACAAAAAAATTTGAAAGTCCAATTTTAGGCTTATAAGTTATCATTTATGTGACCCCCTATACAGGGTAGGTGTTATATTGTACTACTTAATCTATCATTTTTGTTTACTGACAACCCCTCTACAGGGAACAATTTTAAATTTTGGCCACTCGATCCCCTTTTACAGGGATACAGCACCTATTTATTTTAGAGCCGGGTGCTCCTTTTGCTGTTATCTCTCCCCCCGCCGTACTTGTACGGCAGTCTCGATCCCGAGTCGCCGACCCTTTCTGCTGCGGTCCGGAGGTTGTTTCCGGACACCGAAAAGCAGCCAAAGAAACAGCGCAGTGCGGCCCCGGAGAATCGGGTCCAGCGCGGCCCGGCCACCGACAAGCTGCGAGAGCGTTGGTTTCCTGGGCTCGTTACTCGTTTACCAGGGCCACGCGATGTCCCACGGTACTACTTACTTAAGAAAGAGACAACCAATAATGTCGTAAATACTTACATTAATGATTTTTAATTGATAATACAATTTTTAATAATCCTTGAATGCAGAAACAATGGTCAGAGTGTAGCAAAGAACAAAACAATCAATGAAATTGTAGTACCTACGCACACGTACCTATTGTACGTTTTCATAACCACTAGGGTAGCCACCCGTACTTTTTAATAAAGTATTGTACGTTATTTAAGGTAATTGTACTCTATACTTTATAAGAAGAATAAACTACACAAAAATACTTTACATTTTCAAACTTCATTTCTATTAAAGTCGTAAGTATTTTTCGGTACACTTATCGATTCGATATCGATAGTTGAATTGATAACTTGCTAGCGCCACTTAGACAATTTCTAGTAAAGATGCAATTGTCTAGTATTTCAATGCAATTGTTTAGTAAAAGTACTAATTTAATACAAACTGCAAAAAGCAATAAAAATATATTTTTAAATATAATACCCACTAAATAAGAACAAATTGTACTTTATTTTTGTACTGTGTACTTTTTTTTCTTACCTATAATCGTCAATGTACTTTAAATACCAAAGAAAAAGGTGGCAACCCTAATAACCACACATAGCACGTATAGTATCCTTAGTCGACGCAGCAATATTGAATGCGCGTCAGACAATACATAGCATATATATAATTTAACGTATTATAGTAATCTTAGTAGTAGTACTTTATCTACCGAACAACGTCAAACAAAGGAATACGACAAATTTATTTGTAACTTTTACTTAATACACGCAACTAGCAACTTGTGATCTTTTCTGCGAGCTACTACAAACTCAAACTCAAACTCAAAAGCATTTATTTCAATTAAACCATAATTTGGTACTTTTGAAACGTCAACAAATATGAGATATATAATCGTCTGTCAGTCTGTCCGTCAGTGAAGCTAGGCGCTCGTTCCAAAATGT